TTTGTCGACGAGTCTTTTCTTGTTTCCATACTTTATAAACTGCATTTGTTTCTTTTCTGATCTAAATTACCAAACAAAAACTACTTTCATACATAACTGAAACGGTTCGCGACACTTATATTTTGTATTTCGACTAAAAAAAAGCTTTAGCGGCTCTGACCAGTGGTAAGCCCAGGACCAAAGACGTTACATATTGCGCGCTTTCGGCGATGCCGGTCGCCCTCATAAATGGAGGAGGTTTCCGCATCTTCCGGTTAAAATATGACTCACTGATATTTAGTTACTCTCTCCGTGCCCGCTGACTTGCCCGAACCCCAAGAGACGTGGAAACCGCAAAGAAGGTAGGCGCTTAAATATGATTGCAGGGCCCCTTTAACAAAATGGTATGGGCGTCCCTTTCCGAAGGTCAACGGGGGACAGCGGGGCTCGGTATGGGACAGAGGGGCTGGACGCTGCGAGGCGTCATGTGCAATGGGGCCAAGTAGGTTAATAGTTTTGTAATTAGCAGCCGCATACTGTTGCCGCGAGGCGGCATGAATGTATGTGGGAAGTTGGTTAACGAGCTCCCCAGGGATACATGTGCTGTTCGACTTTCTTTCGGACGGCACTTGTAGGCACGGGTGGAGTGCCGTCGGACGGCACTGTAGTCAGCCAAAAAAACAACAGAAAATGAGGTGTTTCAAACAACTTTCTTGAAGAGATCGTGAACTGATGTTTCAACTACTTCCTCGTCAGCTTTCCTCCTCAGTACATAAGCAGAGTGAGAAACCATGTGGTCGTATTTCACTGAAACCAAAAGTTCTGCCAGCAGTCTGAGAGCCGGCATGGACAAAGCCCTACATAAATTTCACACTTCACATTTTTGCAAGTGCTGACAACCATGAAGGGAGCGACGGGACAAGCGATGGCGACCCTTTTTGCTATCGCTCAGCCGCACGACGAGGCACACTGCATGAAAGCAACTGGAGCAAGCGACCAATGTGATGAGCGACGTTTTCTTGTAATTCAAGACCGAGCAGCGTTACAAGCGACAGTGAGAAATCTCCGTCGCTGTTGCCGATGCTCGTCTCGTTGCTCACTAAATCGCTTACATTACGGTCCAGCCTTAATTGTCTGAAAGCGAGAAACACCTGCCACGAGTGAGTACCGTGCTGCCACTCACTTCCAAGTGCCTCTCATTTCAGGGCTACACTACCATTTGCTTCCAAGTCCTGCACGGGCCTCCTGCTCAGGCGCTTTGATGCCACTTACGAAACTAGCACAAACTCGTCAAGGGGGTTTAGGTGGGGTTAGTCATCCGGTGTGTTTGCTGCACTATTCTTTACGGTGCCTCGACAGTCCACAGTCACTTCACAGTAACAAGTTGGGACGCCATGATGGCAGCGGCACTTGTACCTGCTTGTCTTATTCACTAGAGGTTTGAAGACCAACTGCAGACTTTCGGCAGCATGACACTTTCGGTTTTGTAACATCATTGTTGCTTCCTTGGGACAACTCTTAATTCATGGGAGGAACAAGATGGCAATTGCGCCAGTGGAGAATACGTCCAGGCACTATACCTGTACTAAAACTTGCTTGATCACCTATTTATTTATGATTATCTTTACACTTGCAGCGTTACCTCCGAGGCGGGGATGCCCGACCAGAAGAAAAATTTGACAGGGCCATAGGCAAGGCCAAGTTCGACTCGCGCTGCTGATCCTGTTTTCCCGGTGCCTCTACAAGGGCGAGGACCTGGTCGATAGGAGTGTGACAGGCCAACCTTCCAGGCGTGACAAAGTATGGCGCCGTGGGAGGGAAGCCCATTACACCTGTCAAAGTGGATGCAACTGCAGGTGCGAGCCTTGCTGCATGTCCGCCTTCCCGGTTCTAAACTATGTAGAAATTGGAAGGTTCAGCATCGTGCATTATATAGGTTTTATAGACCATACGCGAAATAGCTCTTGGGTATCATCATCATGCCGCTCGGAGCGACATGTGGTGGGTTTTGATATCTTGAATGTGCAAATGCCACTATACCTCGTCTCGCCTCAGCATGAACTAACTGCAAAAGCTGTGCAAGCGCTAGCGGGTAGCCTTGGCCGGAGGATGGAACCGCAGTATGTGTGCGTCCACAGGTTTCCAATGTCAACGGCAGAAGCTTCCGAGGGTGTCCCAAGCATGCACCAGCAACTTCGGGAGGATACATGGGCACTGCTATCTTGGATTTCCAAGATTAAAGAAAATGAACACAGTTGGCAAAAACTTGAGTCTTAAGGTTCACACTCTTGCAACTGAGTACGACCGAGAGAGACGAGATCTGTTAAAACTTCTTAAAAGTTCTTAGGACGAGGGTACATACTGGGGGCATTCTGGCACCATCTATGCGTTGACCCTGGAACTGCATTTTACAAGAGCGAAGGTTTCGCGGAATTTCCAAGGTCAAACATGTGTAATACCTGTAGGAAAGGCTTGTTTATAACGTTGACAAAAGTTTTTCCAGCCAAGAAAGAAAGGATAATGCGCTAGAGAAATAGTAAATATGCCGGACCGCCGAGTTTACACTGCTACCCAATAGATGGTGCCAGTGTGTCCTCTCGTTGTAAGAAGTTTTAAGGAACCCAATTTTAAGAGGTCGCAAGAGTGTGAACGGGCCTTTAGAGAACCATGCAGTGAACGGAAAACTTAACAGTTTATGCATTCTTGGCATTTCATCAGGTTGTCGGCAGGCCTCTTCACGATGTATAATATGTGCATTACTTTGGTATTTGTTGATTTTTCTGGAAACGGGTGCCAGCAGGTACGGGCATAGACAATCCTAATTATATTCGTGCATCTGTACAACTTTTTTTGTTATTGTCATGTAGTGACAAGGTATATTTGTTGTTATCGCTGTCAGCGCCTATCACCAACGCAAGCCGCGTTCGCTTATCATAACATGCGCAGTGTATATAAACGCTCATACGGAAATAAACTGTTGTTCTGTTCCCACCGCGCTGTCTGAAGGATCTATTACATTGGCGACGAGGCGAATCGACGGACGGGCGAGTCCCGGTCGAGTAAGGCAAGATGTCGGTCGGCAGGATCGGCGAATATCGTCTCGGCACGAATGCGTCCTGGGATGAATACGTCGAACGGCTAGAGATGTTCTGCGCTGCAAACAAGATAACCACGGACGAGCAAAAACGAGCGGTTCTGCTGAGTTGTTGCGGCGAGGACACTTACGGGCTGATCGTGACCTTGGTCAAGCCAGCAAGACCGACGGCGGCGAGCTACGACGACATCAAGGGGGCGGTGCGGAAGCACATGCATCCAAGGCCTTCGGAGCTGTACGCAAGATTCTTATTCTACCGAAGAAACCAAGCTCAGGGTGAGGCGGCGTCGGAGTATGTTACGGCACTCCGTAAGCTGGCTGAAGACTGCGGTTTCGGTGACAAACAGCTTCCACTGGACGTCATGATGAGGGACCGGTTCGTATGCGGCATCAAGAATGAAGCGGTTCAACAGCGGCTGCTCGCAGAACGCGACCTGACGTTCGAGGTGGCGTACGACATGACGCTGACGGCGGAGGCAACGGAGAAGCAGCAGCGCTATATACGCAAGCAAGCTCAAGACGGAACCAAAGAAAGCGAGGCTCTGGTTCAAGCGACACGCATGAAACTGGACACCAAGGCGGACGACGTCAGCTGCTTCCGCTGCAACGGTGAGCACGCTCCGCATGTATGCCGTTTTAAAAAGGCTGCTTGTTTCAAATGCAAAAAGGTTGGACACGTGGCAAAAGCTTGTCGTTCAAAAGACGAGAATCGGACGCCGCGGAAGCCAACTGACCTGCGCAAGCGGGAGGAAAAAAACAAGGGCGTCTATGAAATGAGCGCATTGTTTTCTGTATGCGAAGTGCGTGAACAGGCTGAAAAGTTCATGGTAGAAGTGCACATTCAAGGAGAGAAAGTTCCGATGGAAGTCGATTCAGGAGCATCTTGCTCGATTGTGAGTGAAGAGACGTTTCGGTTGATCGAGGAGAATCGAGGCCAGATACCGCTGCAAGAAACCGGCACAAAGCTTGTAACCTGGTCGAATGAATCATTGTCCGTGGTGGGTCGGGCAAACGTGGAAGTGAAATTCAAAGGCTGTAGAGCAGAGCTACCTTTGTTAGTAATAAAGAAGCGTGGTAACAGTTTACTCGGACGTAGCTGGTTTGAGTCGCTGGGCATCCGTTTGAGTGGAATTCAGCAGATCAAGGTGGAGGACGTGACATCGCGTTTTGCTGAGGTTTTCGGCAGTGACCTGCCTGGATTCAACGGACCGCCAGTTCACATAGAGCTTCAAGAGGACGCCCGCCCGGTGTTTCTCAAGAGTCGTCCTGTCCCGCTGGCCCTCAAGGACGACGTGGCCAAGGAAGTGGATCGCCTGGTGCAACAAGGCGTCTGGGAGCCGGTTGAGTACTCAAACTGGGCGACACCGCTGGTAGTGGTGAGGAAAAAAAACGGAACCTTGCGTTTATGTGGGAATTACCGTAGTACCGTAAACAAGGCTATTAAAAGCAGCGGGTATCCTTTGCCCACGACCGCGGAAATGCTAGCGACCTTGGGGTCGAGTAAAATTTTTACCAAGCTCGACTTAACTCAGGCGTATCAACAGCTCAGCCTAGATGATGAATCAGCAGAAATGCTGACCGTCAACACGATTAAAGGGCTATGCAAGGTCCGGCGGCTGCCGTTTGGAATCTCGGTGGCTCCGTGGGTGTTTCAGCGAGTCATCGACACGTTATTGGCAGGGATTCCGGGGGTGAAGGCTTATCTCGATGATATCTTGATATCGGGAAGCAACGCAGACGAACACTCGGAAAGGCTTGCAGCCGTGCTGGCGCGTCTGCAAAGAGCGCAGCTAAGAGTAAACAAAGAAAAGTGTGAATTCAGTCAAGCAAGCATTGAATTCCTGGGACATAGAATCGATGCCGCAGGTATCCACCCGAGCCAGGCCAAGACGGACGCCATTCAGCAAGCGCCACCGCCGACAAGCAGGAAGCAGCTTCAAGCTTTCTTGGGGTTGTTAAATTTCTACGCCAGTTTCCTTAAGGGGAAGACAGAAGTGGCGGAACCCCTTCATCGGCTTTTGGACCACGAGCAAGAATGGAAATGGACAGGTGAGCACCAGCGGGCGTTTGAAAAGCTGAAGAAGTTGCTTAGCTCGGATGCAGTACTTGTTCCCTATGACCCCAAGCGGCCGTTGGTTTTGTGCTGCGACGCGTCGCCTGTCGGGGTAGGGGCCGTGCTGGCGCATAGGGCTGATGACGGGAAAGAGCAACCTATAGCATACGCCTCACGAACTCTCGGTGCTAGTGAACGCAACTATGCCCAGATTGACAAAGAAGGTTTAGCAGTCGTCTTTGGAGTGAAAAGATTTCACCAGTACCTGGCCGGAAGAGACTTTACCGTAGTAACGGATCATAAGCCGCTGTTGGGGTTGTTCAACACAGAGAAGCGGGTGCCAGAAGTGCTGTCGCCCAGGATGCTTCGCTGGATTTTGTTGTTAGGGGCGTATAATTATCGCATTCAGTACAGGGGGGGCGAAGACAACTCCAACGCTGATGCGCTTAGTCGTCTGCCAATCGTGGGAGACGAAGACGAGCCACAGCCACCGGGGGACGTGCTCCTGCTTGAAGCTGTCGAGTATGCTCCACTCCAGGCGGCAGACATCGCAAGGATGACCAAGGAAGACTGCATCTTATCCAAGGTCAAGGATTGGATCCTCAGTGGCTGGCCGTCGAGGCAACCGGACAATACGTTCGCGCCTTACGAGGTAAGGAAGTCCGAGTTGTCGTTGCATCGTGATTGCATACTGTGGGGAAACCGTGTGGTCATCCCGCAAGTGGCAAGAGAGAGAGTACTTCAGTTGGTGCATGCAAACCACCCGGGAATGAGTGCCATGAAAGCTTCAGCAAGAGGGCTTATGTGGTGGCCAAAGATGGACAGCCAGATTAAAGAATTTGTGCGGTACTGTCAGCCGTGTCAAAGTAACCACCAAAGCGACCCCAAGGCTCCCGTGCAGTTCTGGGTCAAGCCAGATCAACCATGGAGTCGTCTACACATAGACTTCGCGGGGCCAGTCAAGGGAGAAGTGTTTCTAATTGTAGTTGATGCGTACAGCAACTGGGCAGAGGTAGAAATCATGCCATCAATGAAATCTTCAGCTGTCGTCACCAGCTTAAGGAAAATGTTTGCGACTCATGGGGTACCAGACGTAATCGTCTCTGATAATGGCACAGCGTTCATTGGTGCTGAATTGCAAACGTTCTTGAAATTGAACGGTGTTCGTACAGTGTTCGCAGCACCTTATCATCCCGCCAGTAATGGCAGGGCCGAACGGATGGTAAGAGAAGTCAAGGAAGCTTTGAAGAAACAACAGGAAGGCACAACTCAGTGCAAGATTGCGCGGTTCTTGTTTAAACAACACACCATGCAGCATTCTGTCACGGGAAAGTCACCGGCAGAATTGATGATGGGGCGGAGGTTGAGGACAGCCTTGGACAGACTTCACCCAGATCGTCAGCGTGAACCTGAGGTTCAGGCGTCGCCAACAAAGTGTTTTGCTGTGGGTGACGCAGTCTACGCAAAGAGTTTCAATCCAGGACCCCGGTGGAAAGCAGCTACCGTGGTGGAAGTGCGAGGCCCGGTGTCGTACACGGTCCAACTGGACAACGGGGAGCGCCATCACAGACACCGGAACCAGCTGAGACGAGCCTGGACGGCGCCTCAAGGGGATGCCAGCACAAGGGTGGACTATCACTTCAGGCTCCCACCTACAGCGGGAACGTCGCAGCGGCCGGAGGCGAGCACGGAGTCAGCAACGCAAGCTCCGGCTCCACCACGAAGATCAACACGCAATCGACATCCTGTTGTACGCTATGGCATTAATGATTAACCAAGCGTTCTTTATTGTTTTGTGCATCTAATCGTAGGAGAAAGGAGTGTCATGTAGTGACAAGGTATATTTGTTGTTATCGCTGTCAGCGCCTATCACCAACGCAAGCCGCGTTCGCTTATCATAACATGCGCAGTGTATATAAACGCTCATACGGAAATAAACTGTTGTTCTGTTCCCACCGCGCTGTCTGAAGGATCTATTACAGTTATTTTATTTTAAAGCTTGCTATTTAGTTTTGAAAGAACTTCGTGGTTCCCATGGCGAAGTTGCAAACATTATATTGGTATGCTCAAAACCAGTCCAAGGTCAGAACTAATCATCTAAAAAAAATAATGTGACCAGAAACAATGTCATTTATTATGTTGTCAAGCTAGGCCTCGCAAATATTAGCCAAATCAGGTCCACTAGTACCCACCCATGTAGGAGGGTGTCTTTAGTGCCCATGCTTGTTGTTTAATTAGACCTTGAACATGGTTCCTTACTATGTAGGACTTGCATTACGAATGAGTTTTCTAGTTAACGGTGGTGTTCCTGTTAACAAACCATTGTATTAGGTAGGTAGAAAATAAGAGTGAAGTGAACTTTACTCTTTAATGGCAAGTAGGTTCATATGGAATCATTTTTGCTTCAGTGGAGGCTCAAGTATGCACGACACTGAAGGGACTTTCCTTTCAGTCAACGGAGACAAGGGTACCACAAGAGCCAGCGAGGGAAAGAGAACGGGACCTCTTGGTGTCAACGCCTTGCCGCCTGCGTGGCTGTGCCCCGAACCGTGCAATTTTTGCCGAGGTAAACAATTGGGCCATTTGAAAGTTTTGCGTTTTTGCGGATAAAAAAAAACATGACTCACTTGCATGCCTTGCTGTAAACAATCCATTGCAGCACTGAAATTTTTGAGTTGCAGATAATGTCACAGGTAGGATAGATAACCTCTACATTCTCGGAGTTCTGTAGACAAAGGGGCTGCCCAAAGATTACACAGCAGGATGGTGCCCCGCTACAGAGCACCAGTATATGTCGTACCATAGCCTCCTTTATACTGACAAAACCTGGCAGATTGTCACGAGAAGCGGTCGCCGAAATGGAAAAGGTGAAGTGGCATACAACGGAGAAGAGTCTCGCCGTAGCGGACGCGAAACACGAAAAAAGTATGTTTTGGGTCCTCGCCACTGCAAAAGCTGTGTGCTGACGTCCAGGTTCCGCGAGGAATGGCTCTTTAATGCTCTGTGCTACCAAATCCTCACGCTCCAAAATCTGACCAGGCACTCTATGACTCCGTCGTCGAACTGGCAGGCTTTGTGAGTTTAGAGGTGCTATAATCATACTCTAATCCACTTTACTCCTTTTTTTTTTTTTTTTTTCAGGGGGAGGGCATCTTTTTGTTTGCATTCTTAAAAAAGAGGGTTAGACTGTTGTGATTAAATTGGTGTGGACAACCACTAACAAGCTCTGTTTGCTGTCGTCAGGGCCTACGCTATTCTTATCAATTCCAATCTTCGCAAAAGAAAAGATAGGGGAAGGGACAAAACCGGAGGAAAGTTGCGCCGTTTACGTGGTCGATGTAACTACTCATGCTAAAGATAAATCACATGTAACTATGGTTGTTTGAGATAAATCTGTTTGAAAGGGTGTCTTCGCTATGCCAATCTGTAAACATATTTTTCTTTAAAGCTGGAGACCAAGTGACACAAGTATCATCGCTGTCTTCTCAACTGGTTATTTCAATATTTTATGAGGAGTACTTGGCCATGACTTAAAACAAACCAAAGACCAGATTCGGGCTCATGTTGGCCTTAAGCTGAATTTTGCCAGAGAAATAAATGCTGAAACTAGACAACATAATTCAAAGCAAACTTTCTGCAGCGACAAAGAGTTGGAAATAGTTACTGAAAGAATAGGGGAAGCAGTTTCGGGGCAACGGTATACAGATTGGACCTACGAGAGCCTAACCAGGCTTTTTGCTCTGGAACTAGACAAAGTTCAGAGTAAACGAAAGGGGAAGCAAGGACATAGACCAAAAAGCTGGTGGGACAAAGAAGTGAAGCAAGCGATACAAAAACGTCAAGAAGGCTATAGAGAACACAGGTATTCTAAGCGCAGTGGGGATTCAGAAACGGAAGTAAAGTGAAAATGGGACACTTTTATAAATTGTCGCCGAGAGGCATCCAGTTTGATCAATGCGAAAATTCAGAGAAAGGGTGAGGAATGGATGAGTAATGTAAGCAAGAAAGATAGAAACGCAGCTAAGAAGTTTTGGGAGCACTTGAACTCACTCGGTGAAACGACGCAAGCTAGACAGAGGTTCATACTCTCGCGTCAGGGAGATCAATTAGAGGGAGATGATGCGTTACGATATATAGAAGCAGTGATAGAGGAGAAATATTGGGAACGGGTACTTGTGGAAGATAGGAGAACCGAAGGAAGTAGCAGTCCAGCTTGTGATATCGCGGATTTTGGACAAACAGAATGGGAAAAGGCAGAACGAAGAGTCCCTAGTGGCACGTCGACAGGCACAGATGGGATCCCAATCAAGCTGGTGAAGAATTTGGGTCCTAAATCTAAGGCAAAACTAAGGGATGTAGTGAGCGCTATGATAACAGAAGGAAATATTCCAGATGAATGGAGGTTTAGTAGGATGAGTATGATATATAAGGGAAAGGGAGATATTTCTGATATTAGGAATTATCGCCCCATAACCGTGACACCAGTTATTTACAGGTTGGTAATGCAGATTATAAAGCACAGACTGGAGGAATGGGTAGATTGCGAGGGCATACTGGGCGAGTTACAGAACGGGTTTCGGAAACAAAGAAGGTTGGAGGACAATATATTTTCTCTAACACAGTGTATAGAAATAGTTCAAAAACAAAACAGACAGCTCTGGCTGGCATTTCTGGATATCAAGGGTGCCTATGACAATGTGAACCAAAGGAACCTGTGGGACATACAGGAGAGCTTAAACCTAGATTAAGGACTAACAGCCCTATTAAGGAACATTTACAAAGATAATAAGGTGATTATAACATGGGAAGGAAAGGAGACGGGGGAAATAGAGGTAAGACGAGGCCTTAGGCAGGGGTGCCCATTATTGCCTTTGCTGTTTATGTTGTATCCGAGAGGATTGGAGGATAGACTAGAGAAGAGTGGGCTTGGATTCAACCTTTTGTACAGTAAACTAGGCCAAAAAATTTAGCAATCCTTACCGGGATTGATGTATGCGGATGATATTGTACTAATGGCTAACAACAGGACAGAGTTGCAGGAATTAATGAGCATCTGTGGTAAGGAAGAAGAGGAATTAGGTTTAGAATTCAGTAGTGAAAAATCAGCAGTCATGATTTTGAACTGTGATGAAGTTGAGAGGCTGAAAATACAGAATATTACAGTTAAGAGAGTTAGTAAATACAAGTATCTAGGAGTATGGACATGTGATGGTGCAGAATATCTCAGTGAGCATGAAAAGTATATAATAGGTAAGGGCAACAGAAATGCAGCTGTAATGAAAAATAGAGAACTTTGGAATTACAACAGGTATGAGGTGGTGAGAGAGATCTGGAAAAGGGGTCATGGTGCCTGGCTTGACTTTTGGAAACGCAGTGCTATGCATGAAATCCGAAGTGGATGCAAGACTAGAAATAAAACAGCGCGGAGTAGGTAGACTGGCTTTGGGGGCACATTACAAAACGCCAAACCAGGGAGTACAAGGAGACATGGTTGGGCGTCTTTTGAGAGCAGGGAAGTGGTGAGCAAGATAGGATTTGAGGATCGGTCGAGGCAAATGGATAGGGACCAATGGGCACGAAAGGTTTTCAGCTATTTATGCATGAGTAGTATAGACACAAGGTGGAGACAGCGCACTAGGAAATTAAGAGGAAAGTTTTTAGGCTATAGTGGAGATACGGAAGAGCAGGTCTCAGTTAAAAAGAAAGTTAAGGCCACAGAAAGAGATCGGCGGCTAGACGGAATGCAGACAAAGACGGTTCTGGAAAGCTATAGATTAAACAAAACAGTTATTGCCAAAGAAAGCATTGATGACGACTCTACGGGAAGCTCGTTGTTTGAGGCGAGGACGGGTGTTCTGCGAACCAGAACATACAGAGCGAGGTACCAGGAAATGGATACAGTGTGCACTGCTTGTGGAGAGGAGGACGAGACGGCTGAGCACTTGATAATATACTGTAAAGGGCTTCACCCTATGCCTACTGAAGACAACATGAATTTAATAAAGTCATTGGGTTTTAGAGACAGCGAAGGGAAAGTGGATTTCAAGACTGTAGAGATTACCAAGCCAAGATTAAGTGAATGGTGGCAGAAAACGAGAGAAAACTATGTATTTTCTTATTAACTGATGGCAAGGGGTTTCATAGCCCCACTTCCTTTGCGGTGCGGAGTGAATATAGATTTCACATATAAATATTCTAAGCTTAAATGGTGAAACAAAATGGCTAAGTGGCATAAGCTACCGTCCGATCCAAGGGCTCAGCCGGATTCATCCATCTATCCATCCGTTGTAAGAGGTTTTAAGGAACCCAGTTTTAAGAGGTCGCAAGAGTGTGAACGGGCCTTTAGAGAACCATGCAGTGAACGGAAAACTTAACAGTTCATGCGTTCTTGGCATTTCATCAGGTTCTCGGCAGGCCTCTTCACGATGTATATTATGTGCATTACTTTGGTATTTGTTGATTTTTCTGGAAACAGGTGCCAGCAGGTAGGGCATAGACGATGGTAATTATATTCGTGCATCTGTACAACTTTTTTTGTTATTTTATTTTAAAGCTTGCTATTTAGTTTTGAAAGAACTTTGTGGTTCCCATGGCAAAGTTGCAAACATGATATTGGTGCACTCAAAACCAGTCCAAGGTCAGAACTAATGCCAAGGCATTTAAAAAAAATAATGTGACCAGAAACAATGTCATTTATTATGTTGTCAAGGTAGGCCTCGCAAATGTTAGCCAAATCGGGTCCACTAATGCCCACCCATGTAAGAGGGTGTGTTTAGTGCCCATGCCTGTTGTTTAATTAGACCTTGAACATGATTCCTTACTACGTAGGACTTGCATTTTGAATGAGTGTTCTAGTTAACGGCGGTGTTCCTGTTAACAAACCATTGTATTAGGTTGGTAGAAAATAAGAGTGAAGAAGTGAACTTTGGTCTTTAATGGCAAGTAGGTTCATATGGAATCATTTTTGCTTCAGTGGAGGCTCAAGTATGCACGACACTGAAGGAACTTTCCTTTCAGTCGACGGAGACAAGGGTACTACAAGAGCCAGCGAGGGAAAGAGAACGGGACCTCTTGGTGTCAACGCCTTGCCGCCTGCGTGGGTGTGCCCCGAACCGTGCAGTTTTTGCCGAGGTAAACAATTCGGCCTTTTGAAAGTTTTGCGGATAAAAAAAAACATGACTCACTTGCATGCCTTGCTGTAAACAATCCAATGCAGCACTGAAATTTGTGAGTTGCAGATAATGTCACAGGTAAGATAGATAATCTCTACATTCTCAGAGTTCTGTGGACAAAGGGGCTGCCCAAAGATTACACAGCAGGATGGCGCCCCGCTACAGAGCACCAGTTTATGTCTTATCATAGCCTCCTTTATACTGACGAAACCTGGCAGATTGCCACGAGGAGCGGTCGCCGAAATGGAAAAATGTGGAGTGGCATACAACGGAGAAGAGTCTCGCTGCAGCGGACGCGAAACACGGAAAA